TTGTTTGAGTAGGGTCGACTATTATTCTTGTAAATTTTTGTGACATCGGCGTTGAATACATAACGGAAAATCTCCACTGCGAAATCAATAGAACAAGATCTTGCTGAACAATTGGTCGTGGATACAAAATGTCATTAAGACTATTCTTACGTTGGGCTAGAGGCGTTGAAAACCACTCTAAGTTTTGTGTGGTTGATTTTTCTCATGTACAGTGTCTCACATAAGTATTCGAATTTGGTTGTACTTTGAAAAGAAACATAATTTAATAATATTTTTTGTGTGTGAAATGAATAATTAAATTTGTTATATTGTCTAGAGAGTCCTAAGGTATAATATCACACTCTTTAAAATTTGGAAAAATTACATTTACCTCAATTGATTTAACTTTTTTTAAAAAAAGTCCATAAAATTGCCTCACAAAAGTATTCGAATTTTTCCTGTAACTATTTCATATATGACCATATTATACGAAACACAAATATTATAATCGAGTGGTTTTTTACTTAAAATTGTGTTAGGGGTTACTATCGACCGAAATTATATATTTTTGGCCCATTTGTTCCACAATTTTGGAGCACTTGTAACATATTTTCATGTATCATTAAAATGGCGATTTTTGACCATATTTGCATTTTTTTCCTTTTTTTTTTCAGAAATCAGGTATCTAAAAATAATAATTTTTGTTATAAGGATCTGTACTTAAAAGTTGCAAGATGTATTTTTGGTATCGTTCTTCTGTTTCTAATTGAATTGTATGGATCTTAAGTCTCTTTTCGTACCACTAGGGTCGATATTTTCCGACAAAGTTGGCTAGTATACATTCATGTACATATTAGCACTAATATATTTTAAATTTTCAATACATTATATCGGTATACAATACAACAAAACGTCATCCTATACAGAAGATTTCAGTTTTTACTATTCGTAACATTCACGCTTATGTTGCCCATTACAATAACACTGTAAATCCAAAATTTTGGGTTTATTTTGATCATAGTAGGATCAATATTTAAACAGATATCGAAATTTTTGAGTTAGACCATAATGATATAGTGGCATGCAGCCTGGAGGTCATTGGTATATAAAAATAATGATACTACCATATTGAATGGTGTTTCTTCGAGGCATGTTTTGGAGTTGTACACTTCCACAATACATTGAAAACTTAAAATATATAAAAGCTGATACCTAAAAGAATATATACAAGAAAACTTTCCCCGAAAATTGTTGACCCTAGTATTATGAAAATTGGCTTAAGTTCCAATATATTGAATTAGCGACAGAATAATGATATCAATAATATATCTTGGATCGTTTAAATACAGATTCTTGTAACAAAAATACTATTTTTAGATACTCCAAGGGGTCTATTAAATACCAATATCAAACTTTGGTTTTATCTCTGGAAAAAAAGGGAAAATACTACAAATATTGCCAAAAATCGCCATTTTAATGATATTACATAAAAAGAGGGTACAAATCCCCAAAAATTGTGGACCAAATGGGCCAAAAATATATCATTTCGGTTGATAGTAACCCCTTAAAACAATTTTAAGCATAAAAACCAGTCGATTCTAAAATTTGTGTTTCGTATAATATGCTCAAATATGAAATACAGGAAAAAATCGTATACTTTTGTGCGGCAATTTTATGGACTTTTTAAAAAAACTAATTTAATTTAAGTAAATGTAAATTTTTCAAGTTTTAAAAAGCGTGATATCAAACCTAAGACCTGTCTAGACAATATAACAAATTATTTTCTTTTTGCACACAAAATTTATTATTAAATTTGGTTTCTTTTCATAGTTTACCTAAATTCTAATACTTATGAGAGACACTTTATACCAATTCTAGGTACAGTAGCTTTCGTTTATAGCATTGGTGGCCAGAAAGAGAGTTTTTAGAATGCATATGTGTAGTGTAAAATATGAAAGAGAACATAAATGAAAATATGTGTGCTTTGCACTGAAAAAAATTATATGTTTGTACTTATTTGTGTTATTCATATTATTTGTATTATAAATTAACAACAAAGGGAATGTATACATCGATGTATGTATGTGTTGACGAAACGATGTATTGATGCATATATTGATATTCTTACATCAATTAATGCATATGTTGATGTATTTATGTATGTACAGTGGACGTCCACTAGTACGAATTATATAGTGTCAGAACCTTTCGTAATACCGAATAATTCGTATTATTGAACAACACATTTTGTATTTTTAAATTCAAATAATACACATAAAATATTGGATTTTATTTATTTTTGTTTTATTTCTCATGAAAAATTACATAACGGAACAAAATATAATAAAATGTTCAGATTAATTAAAATGTTCAGATTACACAATTCTCTAATTTATAATTTTCTCTTAAAAATTAGAATAGTTATCCTTAAACCCATTGTTTGGAATGTGGAGTCACACTACTTTCAAAATTAACAGTTCATACATATATATGTATATATGTAAATATCATTTTACTTATTAAAAAATCCATCATTTAACATCGATGTTTATTACATTGTAAAATGATTCTTACGGCTTTTTCAATAACAGCGCTTTTGAGGCTCAATATTGTTCTCAGCAGAGTTATTGTCGGGAACTAATAAAATTCCTCATTGGCGTTATCATCCAATTTAATTTCTTCTCTTGGGTCATCAAATTTCCAATAAAATAAATTAATAACACTAAATAATTGTTGATTTGTAAATATACATGCAGTAAATTGTGTGTATATTATTTTTAAAAATACAAAACACTTGTAATAAATACAAAAAAACTTCAAAATTACTGAGCTTAAGGTGAATGATACCGAAATAATAAAATAAAAACATAATAAAAACTTCATTCATACGTAAATAAAACCAAAATTACCATAAAAAATGCGTTATTCGTACTATCGAACAGAAAAATTGTGACTTTATTCGTACTATAGAGTAGACAATGCAACAATTTTGCCATTCGTATTATTGGATATTCGTAATAAAGAGTATACGTACTATTGGACGTCCACTGTATGTCCGTCTATAAGTGTTCAAATAATTAACCGTTAATCGATAAAATTTTGGCGATTAATTGCTTGAATAAATGACAATACAAATATAATTGTAAACATTTATTTACAAAATAAATCTATCTATCAAAAGTATTTATACAAACATTTATTTGTGGCGGCTTTTGAAAATATTATCTGTGTATCATTTCATAAAGAGAGCAACTAAATTAAATTGTTTTTGTTTTGTGTATAGTTTGTTTTGTTGCTGAGAACATTCGTATTGCATGTGTATGAGTGAGAATAACACAATGCCCGCAGGGGCATGTTTGGCCTCCAATGGTTTATAGTCATCACTGTTACCCTGCCAACAATTTCTATCCAAATTGTAACCATAACGTTACAGCTTAATGTTTAAAACAATCTAATTTGATATAATCTGAGTGAATGAAAAGTGACCCCGTTCGGAAGAAACTGTTCCGCCTGTTTAATACTTACTTGATGTGCCCATTTCGTTTCAGTTTCAAGTCACTTTTTTATAACATAAAATTTCGTAAATGTAGTAAATTTCCAGTTTTGCCATAACAATAGAGAAGCTGGAAAGTGTTATGATTTTATACTCTTTTATGATATAAAAGCGACTTTATAATAATTTTTTTATTTCTCCTTTATTATACTGTTTTGCACTCACTAATCCCTCACTGATGCTTATTTTATATTAAACTATGTTTTAAATATATTAAATTTTAAATTAACACAATTTATTACAAAATCTAAATTTCACAATATATCACACAACTGATCACAATGAAATAAATATATTTACTGAAATGTGCAAACACTTTTCCTTCTGAATTTTGAGAGCAAGAATGATTCTACATTAAACTATCTTCTTAGTGTACTAAAAAGTGTTAGTTTTTGAAATTTATCTACTTATTATCATTTAATTTTGCTTTTGGTATATTAAAACGCACTAAAATTTAACAAAATTATGATCAAAATTAGAAAGTACTGTATTTTGTTTTTGTAAATTTTTTAACTTAGCACTGAGAAACATAAAATTGAGCCTTTATAGTGACTATTCAGTTCATGTATCCAAAATTAAACTCAAATTTGCTGGCAGGGTATAGTCACATTAGTTATATTGTCATTTTTATTAGATTTAAATGTCTCTGTCGATCAATTTTATATCGTCACACACGAAATTTTTTTCTAAAAGAATAGTTTTCAAAGTCGCAAACCACTACTACGACAAAAAATGTATCGTAAATTAAGTAGCAACGATCCAAATGAAGAAGTTTTTGTTGAAGAAGATATATTTTTGCTTAGAGCAAGATATAAATTAATTTTTTTTATTTGAAAAAATAGAAGATACAACTGTAACCAACATCCTCAAGCTAAAACAGATGAAAATTATTGATTTTTTTTAAATAAAATAAACAATATTTTTTAATTTAATGAATTTATGAAAATAATATTTATTTCTTTAATAAACATGAATTTTAAATTTTTTATATTCACAAAAAATGAATATATAAGATTTGCTTTATAAGCACATTGTGGCATATGCAAAAAAAATTAGTTTATAGTTCTTTATAGTTCTTTAGCGATATAGTCCTCAATTTGTGTGCAATTAAGGGTTTTGCCTATAAGCGAAAAGTACTGTAGATATATTTTTTATTGCACAGCTTTTGTTTACAATTGCTTACAAGCTTTAATAATTTTTTTTTAATTCAAATTAATTTATTTTCACTGTCATTTAAAATAAACAATAACAAAACAAACTTTGACAGAGATCCTATACCACTGAGAAATAAAAAAATAATTAGCTGTTCGATTGCATATACCTGTTTATTGTATCATGCAAAAACTTCTGGGTGAGGAGAAAAGAAATATTTCAGTTGTAATACAATGTCACATTTACATTTCTTATTATTCTTTGTTTTCAGTGTACAACAATATTCATACATACCTACATACACATATATTTTTTATTAAAATTATAATTTAACTTAATTGCAATATTTATTTAAATTCCGGAATTATTTTAACAAAGAAAAATTTATTGCTTATGGACAGTGCTAAAAGATTAAATCACCTCTCGTCTATGGATGATGACATGCGAATGCTTATTGGAATAATCGCAGATGAGGTAAAAACATAGTATAAAAAACAGTAAATTATTTTAAATTTGTATGTATGTAGTTATACCCTTCACCTTCGTGAGAAGGATATAAATCGAAGTGTTTTACTTCAACACCTGCCATATCGTGCTTCTTTCACGGTGCTACTTTTACAAGCAAACAGTGAGTTGTTAGACGTCTTACCACCGTCCCTTTGTATGCCTTGCACCAACACGCAAGTGGCAATTTTGATATATGATTCCGCCGGTCCATGTACAAGCACCTTGCTCTAGTACTTGAGTACTTAACTACCGAGATGCAAAAACATCACTTCCGTTTACAACCACGTTTCCGTTGATTCGGCAACAGCACCTAGATAAGTAACCGGTAAACTGAAATACGAATCCATAAAATAGGACAAAAACAAGTTCTTACTCACAAGAAACACACACTTTTAAGTATGGTACGAACAACGTAATCCCTAAACAATGGTATCACTTGCATAAGATTCCACACATTCGTACACTAATCATTTATATGACACATTCATTGAGGAAAACATCTGACACTTCTTCATCCATTCCTTATCATATACACTTGACACTAACTCATTCCAAACTTATAGTCCCACAGTCACTCCTCTGCGGGGTATCTATTATCTATGTATTTCGCCAACAGCACAAAACTTTATCAGAAATATACATATATATCATCGTGTATCAATCTTTTAACTTACATTATCTTCTCGCGATTTAAACTACAGCCATCACGGGAGAAATCAGTGATTAACATAGTTGAAAATTATTAGAATCGGCTCAAAATTTCATTAGTAAAAATAAATTAATTATTATATCGGGCTACAATAATACTCGAATATGATTTCTACATACATATGCAATCGGCCCATAATTGGTCATAGCTCCCAAATAAAGCCCTTTTCTGAAAATCAATTAATTGTAAATAACTAATAATGATATCGAGATACAATTCTTTTAGAATATGTTTCATTGTCATAATTTTACCACACTTTTTCTGGATCGGACCATTCTTTTATAAATATTTATAAATCAAATTCAAAATTTATAAAATCTAAATTTTTATAAATATCAGATCTGTACATGTATCATTCCTTTTTGATTTTAATAGTTCTAATTCATTTGAATGAATTCAATTCCAACGAATTGGAAATTAATTGTAATTCATTATACAAATTCATTTGAATTGGAAACGAATTGCAATTTATTTGGCAAATTCATTTGAATTGACTCAATGCTTTTATTCGACATGTTAATAAAAAATAGTATATAGGTGAAGGGTATATACATACATATATAGGGAAGCCGAATATTGCACTCTAACTTGCTTTTATATGTTATGTAATGCTTTAAAAAGGAAACTACAATTGGATTTCTATTGGCTGGTGTTGGAGAATCATTTGGTGTTTTAAAAAAGAATCGCAGTTTTCTAATGGTTACGGAAGGTAAAATTTTAATAAGAATTATTGTTCAATTCACATTCAAGCTGTAAGTTATAAAAGGTACTTTACATTATGTGATTTTATATTTATACAAACTGTTATTTGAAAATGTATTGAGGTCTGAAAATCTAAAACATTTTGTGGTTTAAAATTTTCTTTTTTTTCTTTTTTTTTTTTTTGAATCTGTTTTTTACAAAATACACAATTATTTTATATGTAGTTTTCTCTTGGATTTTAATTTGTAAAAAAAATTTGTTTTATTTTTTCCCATAATTTTCTACATAATCCATTTGGAATTGAAAATAAACCAAAAATAGGTTTCATAATATGTACATGAATCAAAATTGTTCAATAAATTTTGACAACAAATTTGATTTTGTATTAAACCCAATGAAACTCTGAGATTAATACAAAGTAATGTAATGTAAAACCCCCTTAAGTGATACTATATCCCCCAATTATGGTTCACAAAACACAAAGTGTTTTATTGTCTCGGCTGCAACAAAAAATATTTTTCAATTATTGTTGTGTGGACTTAATCTCATGATCAACCTTTTATTCGCTATACCATCAACTTTTTATTCGCTTTTTTGTAAGAAATATACCGTTATGAATGTTTCGTATAAAATCTTATATGCCGCAATGCTTAAATTCTGAGTTTTCGACAATTAAAAATACATACTGTAAACGATAATCGGAGAAAATTCATAGCAAAAACTAAAATGACAACACTAAAGGTAACCCAGCAAAAAATAATTGATATCATACTTTACAAACGACATCTTAATCACCTCCAAGGAGCGAAAAACAGACCCGATTGCGGCTTAGGTGTATTTCTTCAGATTTTTAGTATACATCCTCCTATCAACCTAACCTAATCACCTCCAAAAATCAAACATTTACTTACAAATGAAAACCCAGTTAATTGTGATGAAAGAGATGTAGAAAAGTCACTACACAGAGAGAAAAATTAATATACACGCCTAGTACCAAATTAACACCAAATTTTTCAATAACATCCATTGTCAAGTATAGACATACATACAACAACAACATGTAATGTAGACCACGCAACTTTGTCAACAGTGCAACAATTCGTTGTCGCAATCTAAACAAACGTGGTAAGCTCAAAATGCGTTGCCAATAGTGAGCTTACCACGTTTGTTAACATTTAGACAACGGATGTTCATAAAGTTTGGATTGCGACAACGAATTGTTGCAATGTTGACAAAGTTGCGTAGTCTACATTACGTGTTGTTGTATGTATGTATATACTTGACAATGGATGTTATTGAAAAATTTGGTTATTCGATGTTGCATAATATTAAGCAGAGATAAATAAAGGATCTGAAAAAATTCAGAATAGTGTAAAAATACTTCTTTAGGCATAAAAAAGTGTTTACAAAAGCTTTCTGATTCAAAATTAGGCTACAGAGCGTTATTTAAAGGTTGCATCTTTTAAGATACACTACGCATTCATCTATGAATTACATATTCGTTTTATTTGAATTATGTACTGTGTTATTGTTCAAGTTCATATATATGTATGTATTTTGCCCTTTGAACTTGCTGGTTGTATGTTTGGCATCTTGCTATGTTTATATGATTATCTATTTTGAGTTTTGCAATAGACAGACTTTTTTTAATTGATTTCATAATTTGGAACTAAAAGAATTTTAAAGTCATGTCAGGATTTAGAAAGGTTGATGGAGTCAATATGGCTGATGAGGAAGTTCGTGAATTGCTTTGCAATAGTGAGGGTATTACTTATGACAGTACGGACATCAGTGACTCAGATGACGATGAAAAGCTCATGTAAATAGAGACCAGAGCACCTAAAAGCTTCTAGAATGATAGTAATACAGGACGAAAATAATACGGAAAGTGATAGTGAGGATGAACTTGATATTGAAAGATCTATACATGATTCTTTCATACAAATGATGAATGATGTTAATAATCATGAATTTCCGGCAAAGGGAACTTTATGTGGATTTGAACACCTTCTACTTCTTATGCATAGACTAATACTACCTTTGGTCCCACAAATAATTGGAGCTCTTTTTCTTTCGAGTTTAGTGAGATTTTTATAAATCCAAAGAGTTTTATGGAAAAAGGGACATCTTCAATTTGATGCAAACCAACCCAGCATAAAAAGTCTGGAAAAAGATGTAGAATTTTCATTACAACTAGTAACCCGAAGTTCTTCAAATTCAGGTGAAAACTCTATGAATTTTACATTAGCGTGTCATTGGAGGGATGTTGTTCATTTTTGACAACTTTGAACTACATCTAATCTTATCGAACGATTCAACCAAGGCACTTGTAAGCAATTCTACTTTGGCGTCTATGTCCTCTTTATTTCGACATTGAAAAGTGTGCTGACATAAACGGTTCTTTAGTAAGGAACCGAACATTGTCCAATTAGTTTTAGACTTATTCCGAAACCTTATCGACTTTGGTGGCGGCCGTAGTATTTTGAATCTTATGTATCGATGGTCAGAAAAGGAGTACTCGTCCGAAACTCTCCAATCCTGAATTTCGTTTATAAGCTCTTCTGAACATATAGTTATATCTAATACTTCTTCTCTGATTCTATTGACGAAGGTAGCTATATTACCTAAGTTCGATGTGATCAAGTCTTTAGTATTAAGGAAATCCATAAGGGATTGTCCCCTGCGATTGGTGTTTGTACTGCCCCAAGCTACATGGTGGGAGTTGGCATCACAACCTATTACAATTTTCTTATTTTGCCTTTGTGCCTCTTCGACCAGTTTCATCAGCTCCGACGTTGGTGGTAGTGTCGGAGGCAGGTAAACAGATGCAAGGTATATGTTGCCACGACCTTGCTTCAGTACCGTTGCATCCGATGTTGATAATCCTGTTGAGAAGAGAAAACATAAATTCTTGTGACATAAGATAGTTGTTCTCGACCGAGACCCTGTATCAGCGTAGAAAAGTTGAAAATTTACGTGATTTAATCCTGAAACCTTGTTGCGAATCGCCCAAGGTTCCTGGATTAAAGCTATATGTATTTTATCTGTGTTAATTTTAGCCATATACATATATATATATATATATATATATATATATTACAAATAAGCAATATATGGTATGGTGATATCCCCATACTTTGAGTGGCTAGGATGGCACTTAGTGTTAGCTTTATTGAATAAGAATCAATATTATAGAATTCTAAATAAAATTCACACAGTACTCCCCAAATAAAACGGGTTTCCTTAATGTTGCTTTTGTTTATCAATACAAAATGACCAAAAACCCGCATTATTTTGTTACAATATGAAGTTTTATACCCCGCTAAACCTTTTTTCTATGTCCAAATTCATTGATTTTCTAGTTTATCATGTATCCAAATCAAAATTACTTATTATTTTCTAAATAAAATCAAAGAAACGATACATTTCATGTTAAGTGAAATATTGATAAATTCTTATAGGTATATAGGATAATAAATCGGTTAAGAAATGCCCAAATTTAATCGTACCACTACTTAAATATCTAAACAATTTATTTTAATATACAGGAGTAATAAAAATGTAAAATTGTATAAAATTATGCAGCAATATTAAAAAAAACCTAAAAAAGCAAAATACTTTATTGATCTAAAAAATTAACAATACGTTCACATTTTATCAAAAATCTCGTTAGTTAATATCACGATTTTACTTTTTTTTTGGTAGAAAATTAAAATATAAGATATTCTGATATTCTTATATTTTATATCTATATATATATATATATATATATATATATATATATATATATATATATATATATATATATATATATATATATATATATATATATATATATATATATATATATATATATATATATATATACCAATGCTGGAAAAATTGCATAAATATGCTAAAATAAACCCCTATTTTTGTAGTTCAAATCTGGTTTTTTTGATTTTTTTTTTTGATTGATATTATCAAAGTGTATAATTTGCTTTGAATAATGTTTTCTTTCAGAAAATGTGATGGGTTTTAGTAAAAGTCCCATCTGAAGTTTAAAACCTCAATTGTCAAAATTAGTTATACAACTTGTTTTACAAAAGTATTTCAACTATTTTAAAAATAATAAAAAATAACGAACATTTCTTCTATCGACTTATTATACCCTACATATTTATGCTACGTTCACAATGCTGGAGTACTCTAATGTACAGTGTAAAAACCAGTAAAAAAATGTTAGCTGTTCAAAATACAGAGTGGAACTGTTCTAAATAATTTGTCAAAACATATATGCAAGTTTAATAGTAAATTAATAAATTAATAGTAAATTAATAATAAACGATAAATTGCTAAGTACGGTTAAATACTCTTCATCCCAAAAGACATGATTTATATTTAGCAGTTTCAACTTTTATCTATTTTTATATAACATTATATAACATATAACCATCACCTATTCAACTTACAGTTTTCACTTTAAACTACTATTTCCTAATTGGTTAGAATAACCCAAAAAAGAAGAATATCATCAAATCCTCGCTGTGCTAAACCTGCATATAAGCGATATACCTATCCATTTATTGCGGTGTGTCATGTACCGGCATGACCAACTAAACTTTACTTATATTTTTTACAGGCTTTTTTATTACTTACTAACACTGAATCAATTCGTTAATCCATCATTTAAATCTTCCAAATCAATAAAACTAATAATTATGTTAATAATTTTATATTTTAAAAATATTTCAATACATAACTTTTGCCATCCTAGCCACTCAAAGTATGGGGATATCACCATATACCACTATAGAACTATTACATGCTAAAATCTTGGTTTTCTACACTCTAAAAAATGCTTGTAAAATTACAAAACATGTAAATTTTTATGGAAAATTACTAAAAATGTGTAACTTAAAGCACAAAATGTTTACAAGAACTAATTACGTTTTTGATCATGAAAAATACATATAAAATATAGTATTTTGCTTATTTGTAAACATGTTTCTAATACAATAAACACTTCTACTTTAAAATTACACATTTTTTGGGTGAATTTCTATTTTAAACACAAAGTGTGTAATTTTCCTTCAAACGAAGTAGAAACAAAATTGTCAAAATTTTATTTTGAATAAAATAAAAATTTCAAGTAAGGCAATAAACAAAATCATTAAATTTTATCAAAAACAAATGGAAAATGCAAGAAAAAATAATTTAAATAACATGTACATGCGTATAAGTACAATGTATACTATATATACATATGTATGTAAGTTCAAAGTGAATGTGTACACAGTTTCACACAATGAGGATAAGATTTTTGAAAATTACAATTGAAAAATACTTAACACGTGTCCTTTTAACAATAAAACAATAAATTCCAAAAAGCAATTAAAAAATAATTTGAAAAACCCAACGAAATTAACTGGAAATTTCAATATGCAAAAAATTGCAATTGGGAAAATTGACGTGCAAATTCTGATGAAAAATAATAAAATGCAACAACAAATGCACCAAAATTTTTATTTTAATATTTTTTTCTTGGTTTTCCCATTCTACACAATCTCTATTTTCAATTGGAAAACATAATTTACTTTTTACCTGTTTTTTTAATTTTATTTATGAACAAAAAACAAAATTCTCTTAAACAAACAAAAAACATAGTTGATTCACTGTATATTTATGTTTTTGAGCTCAACATTGGTCCTGTACCTTTAATTTGATAATTAAAACGCATTTTAATTTTTTTCTGCGTGCTTCAGGAACAAACGTTTATAAATATTACAAACATTATATGTGAGTTTTGTGCATATATTTATAAATTTAATATTTTGTTGATATTTAGTTTAAATATTATTTTTGTTGATATTTAGCGAAATTTTAGTTGGGAATATATTTAAATTAATTAAACAAGTAAAGGCCTAACTATAATATGCTTAAACAAACTGAAGTCAGCTTAAGCAACTGTGCGAACACATATAAAATGTATGTGACAAACTATAATGTACTTAAGAGAGTTTCGTCAAGTTTCGTCAAATTTTATTTGCTTAAGCAAAGAGCGATACTGACAGCACATTACGTACGGAATCAATTGTTTGTTTATTATACACAAAGAAAATAAAGAAAAAAATGGAAAGCTAAAAGAAAATTAATTTATTTCAATAAAATATTTTGAAATATGTATTTTTTTTATTACGTGTGTCACATAAATGTGTAAATGGAGCTAAATTGTTTTGAATACACGTAAGTACATTATAGCCACCTAAAAGTTTCCTCGGATTTTCTTAAACATTTGAGAGACTTTTCGTTCGATTGTTACATTACCTTAAGCAAGCTTATGCACATTATAGTTGGGCCTTAAGAGTGTTATTATATTCAGGTGTGCCGAATCTTAATACTCACCATCAAATCATAAATACGAAGACTACCCTATAAATAAACTTTGATATTTATGAATCAGTCCTTTTATTATTGTCATTTATTAGATTTATGTTGAATTTTACAATCGAGATTAATGTAAACATCAGAGTGATATTTGGAATATTACTTTTAATGAGGGCTTAAGTCAATTATTGACCGAGCTGTTCCATATTAAGATATATACAAATTTAAAAAAAATGTTGGTCTAATTTTTCTAACCAAAAACTTTTTTCTGGAAGTGAGGTTATATGGCGGAAGGCCAATTACACTGTGTGACACTCGAAAACACTCATTACGCGATATAATGCTTTTTATAGCCCTAGATGGGTAGATCATTTTACCATTTTTATACCCACCATCAAAAAAGATGGGGGGTATATTGATTTTGCCATTCCGTTTGTAACACATCGAAATATTGGTC